AACATATATTATGCATAATATTATTAGACGTAAAAATTAATAAATTTTATATAATATAATGTAATATACATTTTTTTTTATTCATATAGACAATTACTTTGCACAGTATAACAGAGAGAACTGTAATTCCTATAACTAAAGGAGGCATTACCATATTTTTTGAGGATGAAGAAGCTAAAAAATCAATAATGGCACTCTGATTTGTATCATTAATATGCGAAGGAAGAAATTCAGAATAAACATGGTTTAAATCTTGTACATTTGCATCTTTATATTGACCTGTAGGTACCCCACTTCCATATATTTCTTGTCGTTTTCCCCATGTTCTTGATTGCACTGTCATTACTCCTGAATCTAGTACTCTACTATGATGTTCTTGTTCATTTGGATATCTATAATTATTATTTCCTGAATTACATGACAATATAATGGGATCCTTACCTTCAATAAGCTTATTAATATATTCACAATGCTTAGACTCTTGAGGAAATTTACTGCACTTTAATTTGAAATTGCTATATATAAAGGCATATTTATTAAGAAGATCCGCATAATCAGCACTACATGACCCATTAGATATAACACGTTTAAACTCATTATAATCTTTGGAATAATCAAAAAGTTGCTTAATGTCCATAAATTCTTCTCGATCGATATTATATTTATCATAATTACATATACTGCTGCCTTCATTATTTTGTAGTATAAAATTAATAACATTAATAACAGGTGTAAAATTTATATTATATTCTATATTATTATATATTATATCTCCTATCCAATAGTACAGGTAATCACAATAAGATCTATCAATTTTCCCCTTCTTTTTATCATTATATACATGACATAAGGCATTAAGTATTTTTATAGGAGGATTATTAATCCACGTCTGCTTTTCTATAAGTTTCGATGCATATTCTACAATAAAATTACGCTCACAATTATTATTTGCATTATCGAATATAGCGTACATCTCTTTTGTAGGTAAATTTTTAGGTACATTAGCCTATGAATATAAAAGAAATAACAATATATATATTTTATTTATAAGAAAAATACAATAATTAATTTAAGAAAAAATATGGTATTTTAACATAAATAATAATATATATTACATAAAATACATACAACTAGTTCACCTCCCATTGTTAAAGAATGTTAAGAGTGATATACAAACAGAATAGAACAATTATATATTTAACTATGTATTTAATAATATATTGAAAAATTCCTAATAACAATTATAAGCATATAAATAGTGCTATCTAAGGTTTTGGATTAGTCCTTATAGTGCTGTCTATTTTTACAAAATTATATAATATGTAATTTCTTTAACATTATGCTCTAAGAAATATGAATTTATATTTTTTTATAGGATGTGTTACGTAAATGTATATATTTTATGTATTCCAAGATATTTGTAATATGAATATTATTTTAATTTTTTGAAATTCTTAATAATATATATTATAGTGGACAAAAGAGTTACAATATGCATTCTCTATGCATAATTCTCATGCAAATAAGTGTATTGTACCTTATAAATTAAATTAAATATATTCATTATTTTTATTTCATATGGAATATGGTTGTATTAATATTATTTATATAATTTACATTAATAAGAAGAGATTTGTATACTTTATTACAAGAGTTATTGCTATTTTTTTTTCATGGTATAAAGTTAATAGATATAATAAATTTTTTTTTTTTTTTTTCTTTAATTTCATTAAGATTTTTCCCCATTTCCATATTATATATGAGGTGTACTATATATTTATGTTCATATTAATAATACTATTCTAATGCGTAACGAAAAATAAAAAATAAATATTTTTTACTAACATATTACTATAGTATTTTAATTATTGTAAAATATATAAATTTTTTTTTATTGGATGTTATTTTATTTAAATACTATTTTAACTGATAAAACTTTTAAAAAAAAATTTTTTTTCAGAAAAGTTGTATTTTTTAATTAAATGTTTACGAGGAATTTATTTTTTTTTAAATATATATGAAGTTATCACTTCATAATTAAATGAATTATAGCATTTTATGAACACATTCAAGTTTATAAAGCGTAATAATTGTATTCAATAATATATATTTTTTAAATATACTTTACAATTATTGTATAATTAAATGTATATAAATTTATTTTAAATGATAAGCTCATTTGTTGACCCATAAGTATATTTTGTCGTACTTTTTTATTATACCATATCATACAGTTATGTCATTTATGCAAAATACGAATGTTATAATTAAATATAGTAATTTTTAAGATGTCACCATAACGTAATGTATCGAAGACTGTGTATGAATTTTTTATTTATTTATTTTTTAACTTCGTGGATTTTGTAAAAATGCATATTTATTATAAATTTTATTTTGAATTGTTAATGACTATTTATTTTCTTCTAATAATAACTCATAAATAGACGAATTAATTCAATATAATGTATTATGGAGTTAAAATAATAAATAATTATATATATGATGAATACAGTATTAAGGTTTAAGGCTTATAAGAATTAGTTTTTTTTATAAATTATTTATGTATTTACAATTATGTTCTTGACAATGAGATCACTGATAATTTAGTATAGTGATTAATTTTAAATAAAATTCATTATTTATATATATATATATATATGGAGATGGAATACATGATAATTGAAGGAAAAGTGGAATTAGTATGCATTATCACACTCTAAGAGAAATTTTGAAAAATTGAAGAAAAAATCATAAATTCTATGAAATTTTCTATATCATATTTAGTACATGTGACAATTTATAAGTAAGTTTAATAATAGGAATGAAGAAATAAAAATATTTTTAAGGTAAAACATATACTTGATGGAATAAATTGATCTATTTGTAATTTCTTTATTTTAACATA